CTCAAGGTGGATCTTAGGTGAAAGACAATGTGAAATAAGTTGTGCAGACAGAGCAACGTGCCACCATACCTAGAAATATCATGTGAAGTGACCTTAGATTACATTAAGCACTTTTAATACAGAAGTAATATTATAAATTAGAAAATGATCAAAACAGATTCAGCGTATTTTAGCACGGTGTATTAGCAAGCAGTTTTAAAAGCTTCTCATTCACCCCACTGAAACAGCTGCTTTTGTAAAACATATTACCTTCATTAGGGTACAGAAATGCCTTTCTTCCTTCTTGTCATAGAGTGAAAGTTTGTATGATAGCCAAAAACTCTAAAGGAGAAAAGAAAATACTGAATTCAGAAGACCTTGCAGATGCTTTGCCAAATAATTGCAATATATTTTGGCAATGTGTTACAAGCAAACAGAATTAAGTTACTCAAATGACCAAGAAAGAACAAAGACTATATAAATAACAAGTATGAAAGTTGAAAACCAACAGATTGTAACTGAGGAATAGAGAAAGCACACTCACATGACAGCATATACACATTCCACCCTTTCGGTCCACAGCACGAAAAGAAGTTAGCAAATAAAATATCTGTCTAGAAGAAATAAAAGAGCAAAAAAAAGTCAATATTGTAGACCTTCTTTCCAAAGTTATAATAGAATTATTAATGAAAGTTTTATTTTCTGCCAGGGACAGCACATAAACTGGCTAACGTGCTGCCAGCAGAGATTGCAGAAAAGGGGACCTGAGATTGTGGACCCTCCGTGTGTTCCCCTCTGGATCTTCTGCTTACCATGCCTCTAGAGGGCCAAGGCAGAAATGCCTAGGTGTCCCAAGGTCATGCTTTATGTTGTACATATGTCATGCCATCCTCCATATAAATATTTATTGTAATGCTAGTCTTGTTTTTCTATCTGATCTTCAAGTTCTGCGTTCTTAGACCAATGGTGATTTCTGTGATACAGGAAAGGAGTGAAGTAAATTTCACAGGAAATTATACAGAGATGATCACTCAGGCTGGGGTTAAGGCAGCTATGCAGTTCATAGGAAAGAACCTGCAGCCTGGGGAAGCCTTTTAGGCTTGGATAAACTGTACTGAATGTGTGGTCAGCTATAGCACATGGTATGATGTGCATTAACACACTGGACTTAAATTGGCCTTGATGAATAATTCAGTTTCTGAGGATATTCCTAAGACATTGTGTAAAACTTGAGACACTAATGGGTATTGGCTGAAGACTATAGATGGAGTAACATATAGATGGGATGACAAACTAAAAGTGTGGGAACCTGGAATAGGAGGAAAATAGTGGCCTCCACCAAGAAAGGTAGATAACAACTTTAATTCAGATACTTTTTAGTCCTCCTAAAGGAGTGTGGAGATAATGTGACAATTGATGGAGTGATTGCTACAAGCTTTATTGGGTTCCTAGATTGAAAAGAACTGCCAAGAAAGGTGAGCTTCCTTTCATCGAAGCTCTATAAATTAGATTAAATCTTCCTTGGAATTTTTTGGATATAGAAGGACAGAAGTTGCTGACTTTCAGGGACAGATTTCTTGTCTGAGGTCATTGTGGCCCACCAGTCACGGGGTTTAGTGTTTGCAGAGGGATGAGGAGGAACTTAGGCAGCTGCAGGGGTCTTGAAGTCAAAGCAGGCTGTGTGAGAAGGAAATAACTGGTACATTGACCACTGTTCTTAATTTTACCTTTTTTGGGAAATTGTATGTTGCTAGCCTTTGGGTCAAGTGCTCAAAAGATTGTATAATCATTAATAATAAAAATAGATTATGCTTGCTTTGGTGTTAAGTCTGGAATAGTTCCTGTGTTTAGTAAAAGATGATGAAGAATATATTGGTAATTTTCTAAGAATAATTTTTGGAATCATGAGAACATTTCATATTGGGTGATTTTCCCTTTCCTTTCTATTCCCCCTTTTCTTATAATAAAAGACTGAGGTCACCAGGGCAAAAAGAGAAGCTAAAGCAAGAGAAGTTATAGAAGTAGTTAAGCGAAACTAAGAGAAACTAAGAGGAGCTAAGAGAAACTAAGAAAAACTAAGAGAAGCTAAGAGAAACTAACAGAAGTAAGAGAAGTTAAGAGAAGCCAGGGAAACAAAAGAAACTTAGCAACTGCAGAAGCCCGAGGAGACCTGTCAGCTTGCATGAACATTGTCTCTGAGTCGTTATTGCACCTTCCAGGTATTCCATCCTTCAGACCCCCGAAACTGCTGAGGCAATTTTCCTTTAGGCTTTAATTTGTATCATTATTGTATTCAATAAGTTCAAAATAAATATTGTGTCAAGTTTTACAAATATTTACAATGACCTCTAAAAATTTCCAAAATGTGGAGTTTGGGAAGCAAATTAAGTTAATAAAGTGATTACTAAACAAATCAGAGGACCAGAGTTTGGATACCCAGAATGATGCAAAAAGTGCCCAGTATAGGGACATGCCCCTATAATCCTAATTAAGGGAGGGAGAGACAGATAGATTCTTAGCACTTGCTGGATGTCCCATCTGTCTGAATCAAGGAGCTCCAGATTAAGAATGTTTATCTCTAAAGATAACATATACATAACACCCATACTCCTGCAAGACAGGTTTCACTGAGGAATATGAACAAGGAGTTATACCTGGCCTTTCTTTTGCTTGCCAAACTTATCTCTCAAATGTGTATCTTCATGTAGACTTCTTGTGGAGAATTCTAACACCCCATTCCCCTTTTAAAGTTTAGAAGATATCTCAGTTTAATGTACTTTCTTCTATTCAAATCTTAGCTCTAAATAATTTGGCATTATAAAGTATTAAAATATTTAGTACTCCTGTATGTGATGCTTTCCATGATACAATACATGATCAAGGCTAGCTGATCTTCATCATTGAAGTTTCTCAACATTGCACAAAATTCAGTTACCCAACTTCAGATTATATCATTTACAGCATCTTAACTAAAATGCAAAAATGCATTTAAATGCTCTAGCTAAACAGCATAAAATGGGAGCACATATAGCAGAAGTTTATGAAAGCAGAGCTGATTTGATAATTTTAGGTTGTTTGATACTTTTTGGTATAGGTGTTTATTTCTTTTATTTGTGTATCTTAATTATTTTCTTTTGCTCTTATCCTCAAAAAAGGTTTATAGTGTATCCCATTGTATAATTCAACATTTTCCACAAAGCTTCAATTGATAGATATTAGTCTATACCAATTTTCTCACAGTATATAGAAATTTACCAAATGGAGTATACTGCTCCATTTGCACTGTTTACATCACAGAACACTTAAGGCACCTGAAGGTGAGGCTGTTCTGATAGTATTTGCTTAATTTGCAGAGTCAGCAATAGTTTTTGGATGAATGGCCAAGCTAAATAAGCGTGTTATCACCAATTGATCATCATGAAAGAAACAGATCATTAAGCTTGTAATTTGCACGGCTAATAAAGGTCTGGAAATAATTTTGGAATGCTTCACCAATCTTATAATTTTGTGTCTAGCTCTCCAACACACAAACAGAAAACATGAAGTTAAGTATTGTCAGAGATAAGCATATGCCTCCAGTATGTTATTAAATTCCATTAGAATCAAGGAGTGAAAATAATGGAATAATCAGCTTTATCTTCATCGTGTGAATATGAACTTGATGTTTCTTCTATATGAATATAGTCATGACTCCATGTCAAATAAACATGGCAGTGCAGATTGAAAAGGAGCCATCCTCACATGTTAAACAACACTGTCTAGTGCATAGTTGATAAATGTCATTAGGGAAAAAAAAACAGGTTTTATGTAATGAGATTAAGGGAAGCACTTCACTGTAGATAATTTGTCTTTAGAAAAGCTCCAGTAATTTAAGTGTATCCCTACACAAAAAGCATACTCAAGGATGCTGAGAAAACCCTTTCTAGCTGAAGGCTTGTCAGCTCAAATTCAATTTACTCTTAAAGCAAAAGCATTGATACCAAGTTTTGTGATGGACTTAGTGGAGATGCAAATTGGTAAGCAGAGTGTTAGAAACATACCATCCCTTCTATCCTCAAACGTAAGGAAAGATGGTTGTCTCCGCTGGTAGTTCTAGTCTCCCCAGTGAGACTGGGAGAAAAAGCAAACCATGATGTCCTAGTCACTGTTCTGTTACTGTGGAGACATACTAGGGCCGAGGCAACTTTCAAAAAAGAAAATATTTAATTGGGGCCTTGCTTACAGTTTTAGAATGTTAGTCAAGGATCAGCATGGTGGGAAGCTGACCAACAGGGCGTTGGAGCAGTACCTGAGAACTTTACAATCTGCTCTGCAGGAAGCAGTAGAGAGAAGCTGTGCCTGATATGGACCATTGAAACCTCTAAGTCCTCTCCTATTAATATACCTCTTCCAACAAGACCACATCTTCTAATCCTTCACAAAGAATTCTACTCTCCGGGAATTAAGCATTAAAATATTTGAGCCTGTGGGATTTATTATAATTCAAACCGCCACAAATGAGTAGGGATAAATTTTGTGTTGAAAGAATTTATGTTCCATAATAAGAGAAAAATATTAAGAAAAGTTATGCGGATAATCACAATTTCTGAACATTCATCATGATCTCTTGATAAAATGGGAGAATATTTTCTTTCATGTTCCTGATATTCTATTAATCTGATTTGATAAATTTAGATAGAGGCTTGATAATATAGATTTTTTAAAAAATCATAACATTCTTTTTCTGTTGTTTCGTTCCCTTACTAACTGTCTTGTTCCACACACCAGAAAAAAAATAGCTGGTGTCCATTCAGATATAAAACTGAAGAAAGCAGAAAGGGGGAAGAATGACATTCTCATTCTCTAAGAAGTCTTTTGACTCATTCTTCTCATACATTTTATTATTCCATATTTCTTTTAGGACCACTTCAAACAAAATGTTTTCCTTCAAACCATGGGTGAATATTCATGTTGGAAAATTGGCCATGATCACTTATCAGATTTGTATTTAACAAATCAAAAGTGGTAATTTAGTTGCAGTGTGACAAATCATATAGTATATTTATCTTTCATTAACACAACAAGAATGGTATAAAATTGTATGTATGACTCAATAATCAACTATTCCTAACTCCCAGACAAATTATCTTCATTAATGTAAATCTTACTTGGAATCAAAATGAAGTCAAACTTACTTGTAGAATTTGCAGACCTGTCTTACAAGTGCTCTGATAATAATCAATGCCAACTTCCAAATATTATCTTAGTCACTAAGTCAGGACACTTATTATTTTCTTAGAACTTCCATAATACATTATCCTCAACAGTGTATATGTAAAACAGCTTGTTCCGTTACATCCTCATATCTGGAAATGATATTTTCATTTAAGTTGTCAACAGTATAGTCTCTTTCTGAATGCCATAAAAGACCTTTTAATATTGTCATCTCAGTCATAGTTGATCACCGTCATTGTATGTATGCCCTGTCTTTTAGTATACCATTATGATTTCAAGTTGTCTTCACACCCAAACTTCAGTATGTCCTGAACTCCAGATTTTCTTCATTGTAAAGACATCAGAATGTATTCTATTATAGGAAGAACTCATATAATTGGATTATATTACAGAAGTTCTAAACCAAATAATTATGTATTAATTGGGTCCAACTTCAGGAGTTTAATTTACCCTTTGAGTTAGAAACAAAGCCCGAGGCCATGTTGCAGTCCTATGAAGGGCCAAGTTGGTTTCCATGGACTCTGCCGCCAGCTGAAACCATGCTGATGTCTGTGGGCCATGTTGTAATCGGGGTCCAAGTTAATGTGCATAGCCTGTGCAGCCACCTGAGGCAGTGTTGATGTCTGTGGCCTGTACTGCTAATGAAAGTAATGATGACATCCCTGGTCCTTCTTCCAGCCAGAGGCTTCTGTGACTTCTCTCATCCCCCAACAAAAGAAAGCAGTCTAGACATGAAGCCATTGAAGAGAATCCTTAAAGTTTGTGATAGGGATCCTGAAGGGAAGCTCTTCAGAATTTATGGTTTCTGGAAGGGTTGGGCACAGAGGTCTTAGTTTTCTTTAAGGGGCTGACCATTCAGAGTTCGGCTATGCTACAGTGAGTACAGTTCGGCTATTACAGTGAGTAATTTGCACTTGGTTTTCCATTTTCTTTCATTTATTTTTATTTTCTTCTTCTTTTCTTTGGAGGAGATCACAAGTGGAGGTGGCCTTGGGAAGACAGAGAAATGGATGTGATCAAAATGCATTTTACATTTTACATTACCCAAAAAATCAATAAGGATATTCTATTGGAAACAAAATTTACCCTTTAGGGTAGAAACAAAATATTATTTTACTGCCCTATTGTGATTACATCTATATATTATATATTTATTTACTTTGACTATAATTTTCTATAAATCAAATGAAATAAGATATCACTAGACAGTAATATATACTGTATTGCAAACATTATTAAGTCACTAAATAAAGCCTAAATAGTTTAAAATATGTAAAAATAGTGTAAAATGCATTTTCATTGTCTTTTATCTTGTTATTTCTAAACATAGTCTATATAGAAAAATAAATCAGTCTCCTCTTATAGTTTCTTAGAAAAGCTGTTTTGTAGAAGATCTTCATTACCTTCAAGGAAAGAATCCACACAGTAGTCAGATAACTATGTGATATCTGCTGACACAGGAAAGTCAAGAACACACAGTACAGACACATTGTTTTTGAATATTTGCCTGCTTCTTGATATAATTGACAAAACACAAGTCATAACGACTGACTTTTCCATTTCATATTTCTCATGTGAATTATTGAGTTGAAAAGTAAGTATGTATGGAAATTCAACAAATTAGAAGGTTATGCCTCCATCCCTTTTCTTTCAAACCACATAAAGAGTAGCATAGATTTGTCTCATGTAACCTTAACATTGTTAAAGGAATATAATATACATTTAGAAGTTTCTCAGATAATTGTTAGTGTCTCCATTCTAAAGCAGTGGTTCCATTGTGCACTGAATTACTCTGAAGGAGAATTGCAATCTTAGATTTGGTATAAGAAAAAAAAATATATTGCCTCTGCTTAAACTTGGTTTTCATAGTTATGATATGCAAGAGAAAGATGATTGTGATATATGTGAATTATTACAAAAATATTTAGTTCAGTATTCTAGGCACACTATTGCTCTTTGTATTTATCTCATAGTTTTAATTTTTTCTCTAGGAGCTATGATTCATAGGGGAATAGCTTCTATAAAGAATTTGAAAAGGGTGTTTATGTAAGATAATTAGAAAATTGCTAGATGGAAATTCACTGAACTTTAAAAAATTATATTCTAATTGCCATTTCAGCACAAAAATAGCAAAACATCAGTTTGCAGGATCTGAAAAGGGGGCCTCAGAGAGCAGTAAGAGAAGATGAAAAGACTAAGCCCTGAGGAAGCCCTCTTCTATTCAATTGTAACTAAAAAGCAGTCCAAGGATTGGCCTAAGAAAAACACCAAACCCCTTGAAAATTCAACAAAAAATTTAAAAAGTAGATAATAATATTTGAAATATCATATGTCAATTCCACTTTCTTCTTAGAAACTCATTATTTTTAATGATACCAAGGTAATTGAGCAAAAATGTCATGGTGACTATTAAGTTGCTAATCTTTAATGTATGTTTGTGAGATAATGAACCACATTTTCCCACTGTGTAACTGCACCATGGGGACTGAGAAACAGTTAGTTGTTGGTACAAAATATTTCAGGTCACTGGGATACCACTTAGGAAATTAGCCATCATTAAGCTAAATGATACTCTTGTGTTTAACATAAAGGTCAACATACCTTTCAAAAAATGTTGGTTGCTAAGAGGGATTGCTCAAGTATAATCATATTATTTTCAGTACAGTTGAGTAGGTATTTGTATGCATTTTCTTCTGTTGTGGCAATTGAGAAAGTATTTTTGCTGCATATGAAGAGATGTTAACAAATTTTTTAAATGACCCTATTTGTTTTGCATAAATCAAAAGTAGTTTATCCCTATTTTGTAAAGGATAAATATTTGGATAATTTTATACAAAAGATCATAATTAATCAATAAAGTTCTCTACTTTATTTATTGGAACATAAAATAATTGATTCTATTATAATTGAAATACATAATGAAAATATATTTTAACATTTACAAAAAGGCATCAAGCAATATTATGTTACATCTGTTATAATGAGAATATTGATTTTGGGCTGAAGTCACTGAATATTTCAATATGATTTGCAGTGTATGTATATCCAATAATTACTTGGATATTAATATGTGATATACAGTAACAACATTTAATGATTATTCCTTCTAATCACTCTATGACTTCTAAAGTTACATATAAATGTATTTGGTCATATGAGAATAGATAATACAATATTAATGTGCCATTGAAAGAATGAATAAAAGACTTAAATATGTAGATTTTCCAAGAAAATTATGTTCTAGCTTCCATGGCCAGATATGTCCTATATTTAGTACATTGTACTACATAGTCACAAACTTTTATGGTGCTTTGGAAATTGGTAAATTGAAACTCACTTATATAATAAAACTTATTCTCCCTTCATACCAAAGTTCCCCTACAATAACAGTTGATCCCATTATCAGTGTTGCATGGATGACTTACTATAATGGGGATGATGTTCTTCCCGTAATTTGAAGAAAACAGCCAGAAACACAGGTGTGGCTCTACTACAGAAGGATGTGTCCTGAAGTGAATGGTTACTACCAGAAATATTCCTCATCTATGACAAACATGTGAAAATGCTCCCCCAGAGAGGCAAATAGAGACATGGAATTTCCTGGCTTCGGATAGATCTGTCATCAGATGAAATCAAGAATAATTCAGACTGAATGACTTCAAATGGTGCCATCATTACCCAGAAGATTAGAATGCATCTATAAGTTTTACCAAAACAATGTGTTACTAGAACCATATGACCAAAAATATTCCATGACATACTTAATAACCTTAACTAATGTATTCTAAAAGAAGTAAATATAAAGGCTTTAGGGTGGCATGATGGCACAACAAGTAGGGACATTAGTTTCTTGAAGTCCAATCCCGCAAATTAAGTTTAGTCCCACAGAGTAGCAAATTGGAAGGAGAGACCTGCTTCTACAAGTTGTTTCCTAGCTTTCACATGCTACACGCAAACACACACACACACACACACACACACACACACACACACAAATACATTGATAAATAAATGAATAAATAAATAAATAAATAAATATTTTTAATATAATCCTTATACCCTGTAAGAAGTGAGCTCTGGAGTCAGAAGAGAGGTGAGTGACCAGCTCTCCTGATATACTGCCCCACTTCCTAGTTTCTGATCTCAAATGCCCATTCCACTGCCCACACCCTCCTGCCTCATTACCCTCCCAAAGGCTAGCTAAAAACTTCAAGTCCTTGAAGGAGGAATTGGAAGAAGATAACAGAAATTGGAAAGATCTCCCATGCTCATGGATTGGTAGTATTAACATAGTAAAAATAGCCTTTCTACCAGAAGCAATCTACAGAGATTCAATGCAATGCCCATCAAAATACCAATGCATTTCTTTACAGACTTTTAAAGGACAATGTTTAACTTCATATGGCAAAACAAAGATAGCTAAAAAATATCCTGCAAAATAAAATAACTTCCAGATGTACCACAGGCCCTGATTTTAGCTGTATTACAGAGCTGTAGTAATACAAACTGCGTGGTATGGACATAAAAACAGACAGGTGGATCAATGGAATCAAATCAAAGACCCAGACATAAGTCCATACCTATAGACATGTGATTTTCAATAAAGAAGTCAAAATTATTCAATGAAAAAAGAAAGCATCTTCAACAAATGATGCTGATATAGCTTGATGTCTGCATGCAAAAGAATGCAAATAGATCTATACCTATCACCCTGCAAATAACTCAAGTTTAAGTGGATAATTTGATCATGTAAATCCTTAACATAATCCAGTTGCACTGAACCAGACAGAAGAGAAAATGGTGACTAGTCTTTTATGCACTGGCACAGGGGGCAACTTCCTGAACAAAAATCCCAATAGTGCAGGCATTAAGATCAACATTTAATAAATGGGACCTCATGAAATTGAAAATTTCTGTAAGGCAAAGGACATCATCAATAGGTGCTGTTGGATGGTCTGTATGTTAAATGTTTTGCTCTGATTGGTTAATAAATAAAACACTGATTGGCCAGTAGCCAGGCAGGAGGTATAGGTGGGACAAGGAGAGAGGAGAATTCTGAGAAGTGGAACCCTGAGGCAGAAAGACACTGCCAGCCACCACCATGACAAGCAAGATGTAAGGTACCAGAAGGCCACGAGCCCTGTGGCAACTTATAGACTAATAGACATGGGTTAATTTAAGATATAAGAACAGTTAGCAAGAAACCTGCCACAGTCATACAGTTTGTAAGCAGTATAAGTCTCTGTGTGTTTACTTGGTTGAACCTGAGCGGCTGTGGGACTGGTGGGTGAGAGAGATTTGTCCTGACCGCAGGCCAGGCAGGACTGGAGAAAACTCCAGCTATAAATACGATAAAAAGGGCAGCACACAGAATGGGAAATGATTTTTACCAACTCCACATCTAACAGAGGGATAATATCCAAAATATATAAAGGACTCAGAAAAGTAGACATTAGATATTCAAATAATCTAATTCAAAAATGGGGTCCAGATCTAAACAGAGAATTCTCAACAGTTGAAACTCTAATGGCTGAAAAACAATTAAAGAAAATTTTACCATCTTTGCCATCAGGGAAATGTAGATCAAAATCACTCTGAGATTCTATCTTACACATATCAGGATGGTAAAGATTAAAAATACACATGACAGTTAATGCTGGTGAGAATGTGGAGCAAGGAGAACACTCCTCCATTGCTGGTGGGAGTAAAAACTTGAGCAGCCATGTTGAAAATCAATCTCTGAAAGAGAGCTGGTTAGTCAGTCTACCTCAAGACCCAGACATACCACTCCTAGGCATATACCCAAAGGATATTCCATCCAGTCATAAGGACACTTGTTCAAGTATGTTCACGGCCAATTTATTCATCATAAAGAGAAACTGGAATCAACCTAGATATCCCTGAACCAAAGAATGGATAAAGAACATGGGGTACATTTGCACAATAGAGCTCTACTCAGCTGTTAAAAATAATTATATCATGAAATTTTCAGGCAAATGGATAGAACAAGAAAAAAAAATAATCCTGAGTGAGGCAACTCAGATTCAGAAAGACAATCATGGAATATACTCACTTATAAGGGGATATTCACTGTGAAGTAAAAGATAATCATGCTATGGTCCACAGAACCAGGGAGACTTGGTGACATGGAGAGTTTAAGGGGTGAATGCAAGTATCTCCCTGGGAAGGGAAAATAGAATAGATTTCACTGGTAGATTGGGGGCAGGTTGGGTTGGGAACAGGAGAGATCAAGTTGGTTAGGGAGAAAATACTGAAAGAAGCTACTGTAATTGGAGAAAATTTGGAGGTGAGATGGAAACGTGATGGAACGGAAACTCCATAGAATGTACAAGAGTAACCCTAACAATAAATTCTAGCAATGGTAGACAGGGAGCCATAATCAGTCGTCTTCTGTAACTGGGCAAGGCTTCAAGTGGAGGGATTGGGAAACCAGGCCAGTCACAAAAATCTTAGATCTACAATCTGCCCTACCTACAGTGTGCTCTAGAACAGTAACCTAACAGAATCCTCACCAAAGAGACCTAAGGGATTTCATTCAGTAACTGTTGGGAGCAGACACAGAGTCTTACACCTAACCATTAGGTGGAGCTCAGGGAGTTGTGCAGAGGTTGTGGAAGGAAAGAATAGAGGCACACAGCATTCAGGAACACCACAAGAACAAGACCGACAAAATCAGGTGACTGGGGACTTGCAGTGATCATGGAGCCTGTAGGCATCTGACCTAGGTCCTCTTCATATATGCTATGGTTCAGTGGCTTGGTGCTCTTGTGGGATTCCTAAAAGTGGTAACTGGGGTAGTTGCTCTTTTGCCTACATATGGGAGCCTTTACCTCCTACTGGATTGCCTCATATGGCTTTGATGTGATGCTGTGTGTGTGGTCTTATCTTCATACAGTATACCATGTTCAGTTGATGTCCTTGGGAGGCCTGCTCTTTTCTGAAGGGAGATGGAGGGAGGGTGGATCTGGGGTTGAGGGGAGACTGGAGGAGAGACTAGGGGGAGGGGAGGGAGGAAAACTGGTTGGGATGTAATATATGACAGAAGAATAAAACAAGATGATAATAATAATAATACAAAGAAATCAGCTCTGTATGCAGCGTGTTGCAGTCTGTGGGGACACAGCTCTGGTAGCTGTAGGGAAAGCTTTTGAAAGTAACAAGAAAATGTCTATGGAATCAAAACAGATATTTATAAGATTATAATAGATGGAAAGAAGAGAGATCTAGAGTGGATATGAAGAACATGAATCAGTGTATAGCAATCAGTGTCTTCTGATGGCACTGAATTTATTGGAGCATATTGAATATGTACTAACAACAGGAACAAAATCAATGAGATTTGTTGATTTGCTAACAAAATCACTGATATCAATTGTGGGACATTGTCTGCATATGTGCTATTAATGGATCTTCACATTTTACCTCAACTCTAATACATTATGCTGCTCTAAGAGCCCCAGTGATATTCCAGATATCCCAGTAGTACCTGAAATTGTGCTGTGATTGATGACAGCTGGAAACTTCTCAGACTGTTAAATAATCTGCAAAAAAACTGACAAAATAAATGAATAGAACTCAGTCTCCTAACATATTAGACAAACAAAATATATTAGCATTTGTTAAAACATTTCTCTCATAACAGGAAGAATTAACTGCAACAATATACTTAAACAAATAAATTGGTAAAAAAAAATAAATTCAAACACCTGAATGAATAAAATTTAGGTAAATAACACCAGACATCCTTATGAGGTTCTCCAACTTTATTCCATTGTTTAAGTAAAAGTAATGTCACACAATGTTGAATAATGGATGTAGTTGAATTAGTTCAAAGATTTAAAATTAGTAACACAGAAAACATGACTTAATGCTAATTACTTTTCTTCACATTCTGTGTGGTAATATTCAGTATACTATGACTATTTAAATATATATTTGTAACATTTTGTACCATCTAGAATACCGTAGGGTTTAATAATGAATAAAAGAGTATAATACATCAACATGAAATCCTTAAATACATTTCAAATAACTCAGTGGAATACTCTGTAAGATTTACCAACATATGAAAAACTAAACAAATAGGAAAAATAAGGTGGTAATTTAAACATGTTTCACTTTAATAGGCATATGTCAGTTGCATATATATTGTGTACAACATGGTGATTTGATATTTTCTCCAATGTTTAATATTGTAATCATGGTAGATAGATTTCTCTCTTACTCATTTGTCCTTGCTTTTCAACTACTCTCTTTCAGTTGTCCAAATAATACAGAAAAGGTAGTTGTAAGCTAAAGTCTCCTCACTGACATGTAGAACAGCAAAATTTCTTCTTTCTGCTTGATTGTATTTGGGTACCATTTATACATCTCTTTTCTCCCCCACACTCCTTTATATTTTTTCTGTCTTTTAATAATATATATTTTGTACTCCGATTCCAACCATTTTGCTGGAAAGGATGTTACTTCACTAGGGTGGGGGATCTAACCAATGGACATAGTCCATTTTATATTAATGTATAACTTAATTAGGATACTTAATTTATAATTTAATGTCAGATATCGGCAAAATCACTCTAAGAATCTGTTTGATATGACAAAATAAATTAAAACACTTTGGTACAAAGAAATTTGTAAGAAAACAGAAGTAAAATGTCAATATTACTATTGAAAGAAACAGAAGCAGCCATATATATCAGATGAATCTGTTAGGCAAAATCAGCTACTGAAGAAAAGCAGACTGAATGAGCAAACTCCCGGGAAGACCATATCCTGACTATGGAGGCATATGAAAAACAAAAACCAATAAGCATGAATTCAACCCAGGTAGAGTCAAAGGAAGTCAGCTGATTCACAATTGTAGTAGAGAACATCAACATTTCTCTCAGCGATTGATAGATGACTACTCATACATTCAGGGGGAACAGACAGGAACTGAACAGCAGAACTAAATACAACATTCTCATTGACCAGAGAGAAAAATCTTGCTTATCCATTATGCACCCATGGGAAAAAAATAGACTAATCACATCATGATTTACAAACTTAGTTAAGTGTCTTTTAATAGTTACAATATATGGAGTCCATGCTTTAGGAACACACCTATATTGGTGTTGAAATAAGTAGCAGAAAGATAGAAAAAAAAAACTTACTGGAAATTTCAAGATTTGTATACTGTAACTTAATCATACAAAGTGAAATTAAAAATCATTATTAATATCAAAAATAAAACTATAGTGTACATGGTAAGTATCGAAAGATGACTTAATAGGAATCATTTCTGATATGAGAGAATAATTGCAATTAACAATCTCCATAAAGGGAGCAATATAAATACCATACAAATGAATGAAGTGATAACCATCACAACAAATATTTTTTTTAAAGTAACAAAACAGTGCAATAGAGGAAATCAATAAGAGGTAATGTCAGAAATCAAATTTGCCTGGGATGGTTAGCTACACTTAGGCAAAATCTTCAAAGCATTTTAATTCAACACCACCCCGAACCTCACAAACATAATGAACTCTCCTTGACACTGAGAACCCATAATTTGTAATGTGCAAATAAAACAGTGTTCTGCACATAAGGGTGAAGGAAAGTAGGATACTGAGATGCATAATCCCATGTAGACAAAATAATGTAGAGTTGCTGAAGGGAGCCTTGGGTGAGCGAGGTGTTAAAGAGCACTTGGTGCCCTGTTACTCCACACATACCGAGAAGAATAAATGAGCAGAAGCCACAGCCTGAGCACACTGGGCACGGTTAGTGCCGGTGCCTCAGGCTGTCATGCACACACGTTTGCCTCTATTATAATTTTATGAGGTGATTGAATGGTAAGTGCATTGGCACTTGGGAAGGAAATAAGCTTGAATCACTAGCAACAGGGCTCCGAAGCTTAATATGTAGATTTACAATTAATTGCCAACAGTTAAAATCATCACCCTATTCACTTGTTTTAGTGTCACAATCTTCAGTGCTTTATTTGCAGGCCTTTCTTAACTTAGTACTGTAACGGGACATCTTGTTGTAGCATTTAGAGAGGAGTTATTTACGGCATGGATTAGCAATATGGAACAAATAAATTTTATCGATGTATGTTGTTGGTGATTAAATAAAATAGAAAATGCAAAGCATATAACTTTGTGTACCTAATGTATCTTTTCTCAATTTGAGTTTCATTTTCAAAATTATGCTACTAAAACAAAATGGACATAATTAACCATATATAGGAAATTAATGTATACTTATAATAGAGATAACAGCTTTTATAGAGTGAGATGATTATTTTTATAACCCAATTAAAATTTCAGAGTTAGTGTTCCTTCATTACAGAGATTGGATTTTCTTTAATCGCGAGCTTCATATATTTTGCAACTTCAAAGTTTATGCACTTAAAATGTACATTTAGAAAATGGAGGGAAATACAAGTGCTGTGATGATCACAGAATCTAATAAAATTTAACATTTGTCCTCATTTATTCTAACCCTATAAAGTGTAGCATTTTTTCCCAATCACTGTTCCTCAAAAGAATGTGCACAAACACAGAGCACTTCCTATAAGAACAGGCTCCTACAGCCTGCTGTGTTTTTCAAGATTAGATGTATTTACCAGTCATGATTTTTCAAATTGGAAAAAAAAAAACTTAAAATCTATTCTGAAGAATATTAGAGTGATGGTTTTAATTTTCCGGAATGTGGGTAGAATTTAACCATTTTATAGTATTGTTTATTATTTATAAAATACATACTATTCTCAAAATAACTTTTTTGTACCAATTTAGGAACTAAGTTAACTAAACAGTTTTTCTGTTAAAAAATAGGAATAATCCATACTAAATATTGATAAAATGTTTATTTGAGCAGTTTAAAATGCTTGATATATATTTAAATATATCCTCAGTTCAAATAAATGGATTACTAGGTCATGCTGTGCCACACACAATAAGACTATAATTAGGAAATGAAACGGATATAAAATGAGACACATAAAATGCTTAGAAAGGCTTTCTTAAATTCGTTTGTGCTACCATAAGATAATGCTTCAGATTGTGCACTTTTTAAGAAGCTGGAATGCATATTCTGAGGGTGGGAAATCCGAGCTTCTATCGGAGACACCTGGTTGGGTCCTTCATGTTACTTCTCCTGTGGCAGACGGCAGACTGCCCACACCGACTCACACTGCCATTGCAGGGCTAGGCTAGAAGCTAGAGCTTGTGAAACGTTCTGCGAAGCTGTGTTTACAAAGGCATTGACGTCTTAAAGAGGGAATCAGAAGACCTTTTGGTCCAGCCACTGACCTAATTAACTTTCAATTATCACCTTATATTTTTAAGACCTCAACTTTGTAGGAAACACATACAACTATAACATTTGTGAAATGAATGTTTGCTTCGTTCAGTTTGAGATTAGATCTCTTCAAATTAGAGAAAAAATTCAAATAGTTTGGTCTTTCCAAACTTTAGTGGAACAGTCTTTTCAATGTCCTTAAACAAAATAGCATGACAAAAACTATTTTTATTAATTTTGTATTATTATTATTATTATTATATTCATTTTACATACCAACCACAGATCCCCTTCTCATCCCTCTTCCTGTTTCCCCCCATCCCCTCCTACAACAGGATAAGTACTCCCATGGGGAGACAGCTAAGCCTAGTACATTCAGTTGAGGGAGGACCAAGCCCCTCCCTGCTTTATCAGGGGTGAGCAAGGTGTCCAACCATAAATAATGGGATCCAAAAAGCTGACTCACACACCAGGGATACATCCTAATCACACTTCCAGGGCTCCTTAAACAGGCCCAGCTGCACAACTGTTTCCCGTATATAGAGGGTCTAGACCGATCCCATGCAGGCTCCCTCGCTGTCAGTCCAGAGTCCGTGAGTTCCCACTAGCTTGGATCAGCTGTCTCTATGGGTTTCCGCATCATGATCTTGATGCCCCTTGCTCATAGAACCCCTCCTCCATCTCTTCAACTGAACTCTCAGCTCTCGGCCCAGTGCTTGGTACGTATCTCTTCATCTGCTTTCACAGGTAACTGGATGAATGTTCTATGATGACAGTTAGGGTATTCACCAATCTGATTACAGGAGAAGGCTAGACAGGCACTCTCTCCACTAGTGGGGTCATCCTTGTGGATTCCTGGGAGTTTCCCTGGCATCAGGTTTCTCCCTAACTACCAAATAGCCCCCTCTATCTCTTTCGTTGCTCTCCCTCTCAGTACCTCCCCTAACTCGACCCTCCTCATCCCTCATGTTCCCATCCCCCATTCCCTACCATTTATGTCTCCCCTCACTCCCAGTTTACTCAAGAGATTTCATCTATTTCCCCTTCCCATGGCAATCCATTCCTTTTGTTACCTAGCTTCTCCAGGGCTGTGGATTATAACCTGGTTATCCTTTGTTATACAGCCAATATCCACTTATTAGTGAGTACATAGTATGTTTGTCTTTCTAGGTCTGAGTGACCTCACTCAGGAAGATTTTTTTTTTTCTAATTTCATTCATTTGCCTGCAAATTTCACTATGTCATTGTTTTTTACTGCTGAGTAATACTCCATTGTGTAAATGTACCATCTTTTCCTAATCCATTCTTTGGTTGAGGGCCATCTAGGTTGTTTAAAGGTTTTATATATTACAAATAATGCTGCTATGAACATAGTTGAGCTAGTGACATTGTGATATGATTGAGCATCCTTTGGGTTTATGCCCAATATTGGCATAACTTGGTCTTGAGGTAGACTGATTTCAAGTTTTCTAAGAAACTGCCATGCTGATTTCCAAAGAGGTTGTATAAATTTGCACTCCCACCAGGAATGGATGAGTGTTCCCTTACTCCACATTCTGTCTAATATAAATTGTCTTCAGTGTTTTTGGTCTTAGCCATTCTGACAGGTATAAGATGGAATCTCAGAGTCAATTTGCATTTCCCTGATGACTAAGGATGTTGAACAATTCTTTAAGTGTATTTTGGCTCTTTGAGATTCTTTTGTTGAAAATTCTCTCCTTAAATATGTACTCCATTTTTTAATTGGTATTTTGATGTTAAGCTTCTTGAGGTATATATATATATATATATATATATATATATATATATATATATATATATATATATATATATTGAAGATCAGTCCTTTGTCAGATGTGTGGTTGATTAAGATCTTTTCCCATTCTGTAGGCTGCTGTTTCATCTTATTGATAGTGTCCTTTTCCTGATAGCAGCTTTTCAGTTTCAGGAGGTCCCATTTATTAATTGTTGATCTCAGTGCCTGTGCAACTGGTGTTATATTCAGGAAATACTCCCCTGTGCCAATGTGTTCAAGTGTACTTCCCACTTTCCTTTCTGTCAGATTCAGTGTAACTGGATTTATGTTGAGGTCTTTCATCTACTTGGACTAAGTTTTGTACTTAACAATAAATATGGATATATTTGCATTCTTACACATGTTGATATCCAGTTATGCCAGCACCATTTGTTGAAGATGCTTTCTTTTTTTACATTCTTTGTCAAAAATCAGGTGTTCATAGGTGTGTAGATTTATGACACGGTCAGTTCAATTACATTGATCCAAATGTTTGTTTTTATGCCAATACCAAACTGGTTTTATTAGTATAACTCTATAGTGGAGCTTGAAGTCACAGATGGTGATATTTCTGGAAGTTTCTTATTATACAGGATTGTCTTAGCTATCCTGGGTTTTTTGTTTTCCCATATGAAGTTGAGTATTGCTCTTTTGTGTTCTGAGAAGAATCGTATTGGGATTTTGAAGGGGATTGCATTGAATCTGTAGATAATTTTTGGTAAGATTGTCATTTTTACTATGTTAATCCTACCTAACCAGGAACATGGGAGATCTTTCCATTTTTTGATATCTTCTCCAATTTCTTTCTTCAAAGACTTGAAGTTCTTATCATACAGGTCTCTCACTTATTTGATTAGCATTATCCCAAGATATTTTATATTATTTATGGTTATGGTTTCTCTGATTTCTTTCTCAGCCTGTTTATCATTTGTATATAGGAGGGCTACTGACTTTTTTTTTTATTAATTTGTATCCTGCCACATTACTGACGGTGTTTATTGGCCTTACTTACATTTTTACTCTCACTTATGTGTACTGTCATAACATCTGCAAATACAAAAGTTTGACCTCTTCCTTTCTAATTTGTATCCTGTTTCATTTTGTTGTCTTATAGCTGTAGCTAGAATGTCGAGTACTATATTGAATGGAGAGAGTAGAAAGCCTTGTCTTGCTCCTGATTTTAGTGGAATCACTTTAAGTGTCTCTCCATTTAATTTGATGTTGGCTGTGGGCTTGCTGTATGTTGTTTTTATTACGTTTAGGTATCTTCGTTGTATCTCTGATCTCTCTAAGACCTTTATCATGAAAGGTTGTTAGAGGCATTGTCAAAGGCATTTCCGCATCTAATGAGATGATCGTGTTTTTTGTTGTTGTTTGTTTTGTTTTGTTTTGCTTTCAATTTGTTTATGCGGTGGATTACATTGATAGATTTTCATATTTTGAACCATTTGTAAATCTCTGAAATAAAGTCTACATGATCATAGTAGATTATTATTTTTTGATGTGTTCTCAGATTTGGTTTTCCAGTATTTTATTGAATATTTTTGCATCAACGTTCATGAGGGAAATTGGTCTGTAATTCTCTCTCTCCTTTTTTACATCTTTGTATTGGTTGGGTATCAGGATTACTGTAACTCATAAAAAGAGTTGGGCAATTTTCTTTCTCTTTCTCTTGTGCGGTACTTTGAGAAGTATTAATATTAGCTCCTCTTTGAAATTCTGGTAGAATTCTACTCTGAAACCACCTGACCCTTGTGGGAGGCTGGCTCCCATTTTTTCCTAGGGTACTCATGAAGAGAGAGGGATAAGCAATATTTAGATAGAAAGATAGTGTGGAGAAGACAGACAGAAACACTGGATAGCTCCTTGAGGACCTGGATCAGTATTCACTGGCTCTTTCTGTCTTTTCAATAGGGCTTTTTATAGGAATGCCAAGGGATGGGGCAAAAGACCTCCCCTTTGCACAGCCAATTGCAGACCCTTCCAAATACCTGGTAACCATGCACAGGCTCAAGCCATCCCCTAAAGCAGCCCTCATGAGTAAAGCAAGCTCAATTCTCCACTAGGAAACATCTCTGGACCCCTATAGGCCCTAAGATTTTAAAAACAGTTTCTTACCAGATATAAGTAGTATCCACATGGCTACAATCTTTCATCTATTCATCTACCATTACCATCTGAAAAACTGACTTTAGATTTTTCAATCCATGTTGAATTTATTTATTTTTCCTTTAAAAGATACTGGCCTAGAAATTTTCAGTGCTAAGTATAATATAGATTTTTCTGTTACTTGTATTTCCATACTTATCTCTAAACTGCTGGTGGAAGACACATCATGTAGGTCCCCTTATCTCACTCAGAGTTGACTTCAGTCATGTGACTTCCTACTAAGTCCTAGAGATTGACAGGCTGTATTCAACCTTAAAGTCTGAGTAGCATAATCATGAACTAAATAAAGAAAAACTACTGACTTTTGCTTGGAGCAATAATGTTTCAAGGTAATAGTTATGCAGTGGCTAATGAAATTCTTGTTTTACCTAATATACATGCAATTTTTCCAAAATAATATGTGTAGTGGGTAGCCATTCCAGCTTGGATCTGGAAGCTCCAACCCCCATTGAGACTCTGGCAACTGTCACGCCTACGAGGCGGGGCGAGGGGAGGTGCTGGAAACCTAGGAGCTGGATGGGCAAGCACTCGCTCTGCGCGTGCTCTCTGCGCCTGGACCCTGGATGGTGGAGATTGATTGTGCAGAGCTCCAGAGAACACCGCTGGATTGCTATACGCCTTCCCCAGACCCCCGCGACCTATCCATTCTTTCATTTGTAAGTCATCCACTAAATAAATCTTCCTTTTAACTACGTGGAGTGGCCTTTATAATTTTCCCCAATAAATATGTCTTCATCTAACAGGCATTGTAAAACATAAAAGGCATATAATGTTGAAAAATATGATTAAAATAAAATTTCTTGATAATCATAACTAATTATATTTTAGGAAATTTAAAGATCTTTAATTAAAATCTATCAAGATAATTTAAATTAATTTTAAATATGTAAGTGTTCTGGATTAATTTATTTTTATTGTATAATTTATTTGTAAGTATATTTAATAATCAGAGTACTTTAATCACATTGTAAGTTTTTTTCTTAGTTTTGAAAGCTATGTTGTATTTAGAATCTCACTGTGATTTTGTGACTTATTTTTATATGTGCAAAATGTGGAATATATCATAAAACTATTAGTATCTCCCTTGATTATCAGGGCTCCCAGATTTCTTCGTGCGTGATTGGATTGATGTTTCTTGATAATTGCTTGTTGTTATCAGACAACAAATGACTTAATAGTAAAGTAAGTTGTGCACCTATGTTAAATTAAGTCTAATCCTATGAAACATATTCATTTATTTGTTAGCTCTGATCAGAAATCCATATACCAGAGCCTGGAGAAATGGCTCATTTGTTAAGAGTGTTTACTGCTCTTGCAGAAGGCTAGAGTTTAGTTCTCATCACTGATATGAGTAGGCTCATAGTCACTTCTAACTCCAGATCTAGTGGATCCAATACTTGATTCTGTCTTCCAGAAACTCCAGCATGATGATGGTGCACATAAACTCATACAGGCAATCATAAAAATAAATAAATGAACCTACAGAAAATAAATTAGTATGTCTATTATTTGTTAAATATTAGGTACAATATTCATTATTGCAAATTAATATTTGAGAGATAACTATAAAATGTCAAGACAGCCTCATTTAAATTTTGATCAAAAAAGTCTTGATCAATAATTGTATAAATTCATGCTGTAATAAAACCTGCTGTTTGACAGTGCATCAGATGTTAATTGCTTCTTCTA